CCTGAGTTCTGTGGGCAGCTAACGCCTGAAGGCTGGCCACTTGACCATGCTCGCCATGACTGATCTGGTGCTTGAGATGTACAGTGGCACCAGATTTCCACTGTTCTTCCACTTTCTGTTACCAAAGATGAGAAGCAATGGTATAGGCTTCACTGCAGTTGCATATTGTCTCTTTCCTCTTGGCCTACTCGCTTTTGTGCTGTGAAACTATGTTTCACTCAACCACGGGCCTATTCCTTTCATTGGATTTACTAGAAACCGTTTCGATATATGTAACATTCAGATTAGCAAACGCAATACGAGAAGTCCTTACTGGAATGGAAGTTGTATGATATTCGCACCGGCCTTGAACCCTTGGCGGAGCTCTCTATTCTCTGACTGGAGTTGCTCGTTGTGCCAGAGAACAGCCTGGTGGTAGTGGGCGGGCTTTTGTGACGCGAGGCCTCGGTGCTGCTCGAGCGTTTTGATATGAGACTCGCTGCGCTCGCGCATTTAGGGCTGCTTCAGATGGTAGTTCACACGTTTCTTCGATGACTGACCGGGGGTGAAATTAGCGTTCCTACGCGACGATATGCTCAGTTCGTTATTCATTTGGGTCGTAGGCCTCCTGCTGCCGATAATGTGGCTTATCGATAAGTCCCGAGTTCGGCAACGCTGGGCGCGACAGGGCCTATGAACCTTCCGCATTCGCGATGACGGGTGTCACCTGGCGCTAGCCGAGGACCTCGAAAGGGATAGCAACAGTAGAGCAGAGCTTCCGGAAGAGTTTCCGGCTGAACGAGCCCCCGAATCGGTTCTAACGTCAGCGTCGGCATGGTGATGGTATGGTCAAAATGAGGAGGCATGTAGAATGTGAGTTGATTAGGGACAGAGGGCCGGGTCAATGGGCGATTTGGCCGGCGCGCATCCCTTCATTTGGTTGATGTCACCATCACACAATGAAGCAATTCCTTTTTTTCTTTTTTTTCTATTCTTTCTTTCTGATCCCTCGTCTTTTACATCGAATTGTAAGCACCTACCGCGAGAGGGTGTCCACTGTTACGGAAATGGCGCTATTCCTCGGCCCATTCAGTTCACAATATACCTTTGCGAGGGCCAACCAATGAATACACATCTCACATCTCATATACGAACAAGCGACAAGGGCCCCAGGATTAAATACGCGATATATGAACGATATCTGAGAAAACCAAATTAATAATAGTGGTTATGAGTTCAAAACCTCAAAGTAGACGTGGTACGGCCAATGTTGGTTCAGGGTTGTCCACGCGACGATCCCGATCCATGTTCAGATGGACCCACGGCTCAGCGAGATCAGCCCCTGTGTCGGATCCGATCTCCCTTTCACCGCCCGAGGCCATACATTGCACCCCAACACTAATTGATTCACTCACGTGACTGCTTGCTGTTATCTGCTCACTTAATCGGAGGTAATTATTCAGAAAAGGATTCAGACTAAACCCCAGCCTGTTTTGGAAGCTTTAGAGTCTAGGCAGCTCCGGTCGCATCTCGTGTTGTCAATTCTAGCTTCACGCTGTGCTAGGCCAGAGCGATGTGACGAATTATCCAGGACAAATACATGCGCGGTCATAGAGATAAACGCAGTAGGCCTACGACTCGTACTTGTCCAAATGGATGATTATGTCCGGGTAACTTATTAACATGTTTGGCTAACCTAGAAGCAGCCTTTGATGATTTTCTGCCGAACCCACTTTTTGTGATTGGCACTCTGGGCCCCAACCGCCGACTCATCGCCCTGCCAGGATCGTCTATTATCGACCAATGTATCTCCTGAGAGCCGCGTGGCCTGTCCAGGGACAGTATGTGCAACAGGCAAAAGGGCCGGCGTCCAACTGGTCTCAAACACCGTGCCAGTATTGGAAGATTCTGCTCGTTCGGAGGCTGTAATCGTTTCGGATGTTGCATGGTAGAAAGGGTCATCGTCCGTCCACCACGTGCAAGAGGGTTCAAGGTCCAGGTCAATCAA